AGCCTAAAGCATAATTACAATTTGTATTTGAATCTCATTGTTGTTTCTATTCTACTTGGGAAACAAAGAAACTTTTTAGAGCTATGGTTTCATCGTTGAGACGCGAAGAAATGCCGTAAAATTCGCAACATTAAGAATGGCTGGTCGCTGAATTGATGGAAGAGAAAGCTACGTTCCCCGAACGACGAAATCCACGAGCGCCCGCGGCAATCTACGTTCCTTAAACACGTGAACCGACTGTCTAACACCGCGACTGACCATAAACATAGAGAAAATTGCGACCGATTTGCTTAATAAAAAGAAATTGAATCTACGCTGGTACGAGTGGAATGGTCATTTAAATCGTTCGCGTTCTCCTGTTTCCTGTTATATTCCCATACTTGAAACAGGATAATTGACATGGTTTATTACAGAAAAAATAGTTTCAGAAAATTAGGAATGAAAGTCAGTTAAGGGTGCATTTCATTATTCGACAATTTTATTCATTTAAGTATTTGAATGCATTTACAATGAGACAGGATTCTATTTTTTTTTTTACTGAAGGACAATTTACGAGATTCGTTACAGAAAAAATAGTTTCAGAAAATTAGGAATGAACGACAGTTAAGGATGTACTTGATTACTCGACAATTTTATTTTTTTCTTGCTGTAGGATAATTTATAAGATTTGTTAAAAAAAACAGTTCCAGAAAATTGAGAATAAAAATTAGTTAAAGCTTTACTCTACAATTTTATTCGACGGAACATTTGAATGCATCTTTTGCAAGACCAGTAAAGGTCGAATTAAATTGTATGGAAATTCAATGATGTGTCACGACTAGTTCTGCGTTTTTTGGGTCAGGCTTGGCCTGATGCCGGTACTACCATTATGCGAACGTGGTTACAAGAAAGTTCGGATTATGTGGGTTTTAGGTTGGATAGAGCCAGGCAGGCTGGTTCTCGAGAAACGCGTAGGCGGATGGCTATAGGCGAGCTTTCAAACCTCTGCATTGTAAAATGTGCAGCCTATTTGTTACGGTTTCGGTCGACCATTTGACACCGACCTGTTTCTCCGAACGCTTTAACAGTTCCTGTTGGGAGAGATCTAGACTAGAACTTAATAAAAGGACTATCCAATAAATATTGTTAGAGCCTTGTAAATTATTTCATAATCAAGTGAATTAATTAATTAAGTGAATCTCGGTCCAGTTGTTGATTAAACCATGAATCACTTAAGATTGAGAGTTCAATTTACGCATTCCATAGACTGACTGCGAGCCGCGAAACTAACTTCGTTCGAGATTAACATTCCAGACTACTAACGAGGGAAGGCTTTGAACGTACAGACTCCGATTTTTATGAAAACCAGGGTTCAAGAATATCTATAAATATTAGATACGTATTTTCTTCAGCTGCGATAAATCAAGTTCAAGGGATGAAACTACCCTTCAAAGTAAACTGCTATCAATATAATCTTTTTAACAATTTTCAAAATTCTAACTTCATTAATTTTTATTCAACACTGTTTTCGAGATAACAGCTTAGGGGTTTAACTTTGGAGGGTGGTTGCATCCCTTAAATTTAAATCACTACAACTGAAATTAAATCTAATATTTGTCGTTGTTCTTGCCACACTAAGATCGAAGTCTGACCTTCCAGAGGACAATATAATAATTTTTACATGTTTCGATGTGTCTAACTTTCCTATGCTTCCACCGATTTAGGTATATACATATGACTTACTTAAATCTATAGAAAACATGTTCCAAATTTTTATTGGATATCTAACTAAAAGAAATCATGGCGTTTAATTCTTCTTAAAAGCCTCTTAATATCCCAGAAAAAATTCAAGTCGTTTAGTCTAATTATTACATTAGACTCGGACTTTGGCACATTAAAATCAGAATCTTTGCGAGACCATTTGCCGATGGAAATTGCATGGAAATATTTAAAACTCTTGGAACTGTATCGTTATCTTCCCACACTGGGGCGAGGCGCAAAAAGATAATGACACCCCTAACTGGAACGCGACAAAATTCGAGTCCGCACGGTACCAGCATCGATGGATCGTGACTTAACAACAAATTCACGCGAACCCAGGCGTAACTTGGTTAAGGTACCGTTACCTTCTGACAAGTAACCATCGGCCTAAGACATTCCGATCGTGTAACAAATTTCGAACCATGCTTCGAGGCGATTCTCTACAAAGCGTTTCATCCAGTTATCCAGTCGCTTCTTAACAGAGAGCAATGACATGAGAATCGACTTAGCTTCAATTAAAAGTGACACTTCGCTCACTCGGAAAATGATCACCTCCAACTATGTTGCGATCTCGCGCAGCTGAATAAACTTTATAATATCTGTTACTTCATTAAGTATATTATCGAGGATTCAGTAATTTAATAAATTGTTTAAATTTGAAGATATTTCTCACGCATAATCGGTGCGATTTCTCTCTTGGGAATTACCAATGATCGCTTTAAAATCTTGCGTGGAACATGGACGTAGCTGAACCAGGCAACTATGACCACGCCCTGCGTGCTACCGGAGAGTTATTCAGACTATCTATCAAGCCAAGTCGCTCCGAATAGACGCGGTATCGTGAATTCGCCGCGCGGATGTGTATGTACAAGAGAACCGCACGCCCGGGTATTTCAAATATCTCAGTCGACGATTGGGTAAGAAAATCGGCCAGGTTGATTAGCTGACAAACCGAGCTGCTTGTTCTCGAGGCTGAAGCAATTTACTTCCTTTGGCGTTCTCTCTTTGGATCGGAACAGAAAATTGAAGTGACAGACAGTGAAATTTTGTAGGAACTAATTAGAAACGACAGGGAAAAAAAAAGAAGGAATTGTTTTATAAAATATTAAAGACAGAAATATACATAGTTAATTAAATTTAATATACATTTATGTATGACATAATTTTCGTAGTTGAAAATTCATTTACACATCTATGAAAAATATAATTTTAAACACATGTATACAACAAAATTGATATATACAACACGTGTGTATTAAAAATTAGTTAAATTTAATTAAATTTTATATATCAATTTCTAACAGTGTAACGTAATATGTACACTGTGGCTTTTATGTATTTGTAGCAAAATTGAATATGTAAAAAGTGTGTAAAAAATGTATCAACAGTAAAATGGATAGTACGATGAGGCGATTGAAGGTT